TCGGCAGGCCAGCGCCGCCAGTATTTCATGCGTTGCCCCATTGATGGTCACCGTCACCCGACCAGTAGTTCCTGCGCGTGTTCCTGCCACGCTTACATGGTGGCCTGCGCATTCGCCTGCAATCGCCCGCTCTGCGCGCTGGCCGCGGGCGTTCGCCTCGACTGGCGCGAATCGGCGATTGCGCTAGTAGAGTGATATTCACGCGCTGACGTTATGGCGCGGTTAGCGCTACGCCCGATCGAAAACGCATTGCTCGCGCGAGCGTGCTGCGAGCGCGTCGTCCGGACTAAAGAATCATCTTGGGGCACCGTTGTCGATCTCCGTCGTATACTATGGACTGCGGGCACATGTAATTTAACCTCGTTGGTTGGACTAGGATATCCGTGGGCAGCAATATAACAGAAACTGCGTTAACTCGCCTCTGCCGATGTTACGCGGCGCGGACTTACTCCAAAGTTGCGTGGGTAGCGATGGCTGTCCGTTCTTGATATTTCGGAATGTCCGAGGACACGTTCTTATCCTTGCTTGTCCGATCCTGAGAATACCCAAGAGACAACGGGGGCATCGGGGTAACAACGCGAGGGGGTCAAAGAGGGTTAAAAGGAGGAACACGGGCCGCAAAACTAGAAAACTGATGCCCCCCACTCCCCCCCTCCCCCACTGCAAGGAAGGGGTCGGCACGGTCGCAAGACGGAATATAACAGAGGAGGAGGAGGATGGGGGAGGGGAGTAGGATGGAGGAGGAGAAGGAGGAAGAGGGAGAGGGGAGTAGGAAGAAGAGGAGGACGGGGAGGAGGAGGGGGAGGAGGGGGAGGGAGGGGGCCCTTTTGGGCCAACCACCTAACACGTGGCATTGGCATTGTCTGTGACGCTTCCGGAAGGCCGAGGTTTCTCGCGGCCAGGTCCTGGCACTACGCTCATAGCCATTTTGGATCCAGGCCAGTCGGCCACCTTGCAGGTCCAGAGGAGCTCTTAGGCCATACTGGGATATTTTTTTCTTCAGCTTTACCTGGATGGCGGATGTTGAGTTTTCTGATATCAGTGGAGAGGTCCTCTCAGTTGCGTCTGCTTTTACTTCGGCGACCAGGAGGACGAACAGCGGCGGCCCCTCGCGCGACTGCGTTTGCCACCTGTGCGAAGAGACGCTGCCCCTCTACAAAGTTGCGCGGGGAGTTGATTTCTGCCAACCGTGCTTTGCACGGGTCAGGGCGAACCATCGCCGCCTCACGGCCCTTGTCAACGGTAAGTCGGAACTCGCGGATGACAAGCACACCATGATCAACGAGCCCGACGTTTGGAGGAACCAGCCATTTTTCGCTTCGGACGGGCAGAGGGCGCAGCAGAAGGCGCTGGCCCGCGTGGCGGCGAACTTCAACGAGCAGGTGAAGATCGAGCAAGACTTGAACTTGTCTGACAAGGTGGGCCTCACCAAGCGTCGGTACAAGTCGAACAGGACACGAGGGTCTTAAGATGCAAGTGGCCACACGCGTGTGAACCCCTTGCCGTCCCCACACTTTCTGACTCCCGTCGTGGGGTGGCATCGGCGTTCGTGCCGCGTCGTGTCCACTTGCATGTTGAGGCGATCCTGGAAGGAGGGAGGAGTCCGACAACGACCTCGAGTCCGCCGAGCTTTCGGACGACTTCGACGAGCTGCACGGGAAGCAGGAGATTGAGAATGTCCACGACATGACAGACAGCAGCGGGCGCAAGTTGGTCTGGGTACACGAGGCGCCTCGCTTTCGGAGCGTGAGGGGCAAGCAGAAGCTAGAGGGCACCAGGCGCGGTGGTGACTTTGGCGGCGGCGGTCCGAGTGCCTCTGGTGGCGGGCATGCCGCCAGGCTCTCTCGCGGGAGCAGCCGCGATGGAGACGCTGATAATCAGCTTTCCAAACGGGCTCGGACTGGCAAGACTGGCGGCGGCTCTGCAGGTTCGCATGCGCAGAGCCCCGAGGAGAAGTCTGACGGCGTCAGGTTCCTCGAGCAACGCCAGGCCATCATGCAGACCTTGAAGGACTTGTCTGCCCAGCTTCAGGGGCCAAAGGCTGGAGATGCTCAATCGCGCCTGCCCTCTCAGAGACCTCATACTCGCCCTCCCACGCCTCTCACCTCCACGCTCGTCTTCTCCAGATCCAGCTCCCCCAACCTTCTCTACATCTTCCCCTTCCTCGCGATTGAACTTTTCCATAAGGGATTGCAGAAGGGCGTGAAGACCATGCAGGAGGACATCAAGTCTAGGGGTATCGACTCCGAGCTATTGCCTTTCTCGCCCTCGAGTGTATTGGAGGATATCAGCACCGCCATTGCCGACCTCGGCAAGAGCAGCGACATGGCCCAGAAGGTGAAGGCGCACGAGATCACCATCCTGAACGATAATATCAAGTTGATCCAGACCAAAGTGGCGGATGCCAAGAAGAAGAAAGACGATCTCGGTGAGGCCGTGGACTTCTGCGTCAAGGAGGTCCGCGCGAAGGAGCGGGCGCAGGGACAGAAGGTGTATTGGGCCACGTACACCATCGAGAAGGCGCTGATCAAGGGGGGCTTCGGCAAGATGCACGCCAAGAAATTCAGCAGGGTGATCCACGCCCTCGAGGAAGATGGCGACATCGTGCACCAGTACCCTGGTCCAGGCAGTGATGCCGAGAAGCGCCAAAGCTTCATGGTGCTTGAGATTGGGAAGCCGAAGCAGGAGCTCGATCTGGATGGATTCGGGTACTGGCCTGACGGGCACGAGGCGACCAAAGAGCTCGCCGACAGCTTCTTGCAGTCCCAGGTCGTGAAGGACAAGATCGCCAACATGCGTGATGCTTTGACCAAGAATCCGTCTTGGGCAGGGGCGCTCACCAACGTCGAGGGGGTACCGTTTGAGGAGGGACTCCAGGATCTCTTGGGTAAGCTCCCTACTGGACCTGGGTGTGAGCCTTGGCTGCTCTCAGGTCGGGCCCACTGCTGCCGCCATGGGCCATTGGCCTTCGCGCTGCCTGGCGTCGCCTCGCTGTTGTTCGCGTTTGACAAGGGTGTGCACATTCAGATCAGCGCCATCAGCCCGATCCTCGAGAAGGGATTCACGCTGAAGGAGTACCCGAAGTACTTGGAGTCCAGCGATGGTCAGAGCTACTTGGACAGCTCCGTGTGGACTGTGTACTTGGCGCCGCAGAGCTTCCTCTACCTCCCCATGGGTTTCCTGGTTCACTGGGTGTACCACTCCAGCAACGCTGGCAAGGAGTCGGAGGGCGAGGTGCCAACTCCCAAGGCAAAGGGGAAGGCGGCGAAGAAGGCCGCAGCCAAGAAGGTCGCCAAAGAAGAGACGCCCGCCGACGCAGCGTTCTTGCTCACCGTGCCCGCCTTCACGTCGACGACCAAGATGGAGCCTGGGGTGAAATCCGCTGTGCTGGGTTTCAACGCTGAGGTGATCCGCAGCAAGGGCAAGGATCCGAAGTGGGAGACCAGGGGGATCGCCTTGGAATCGTGCTTCAAGGAGTGAGCTCGACGGCGACAGCATGCTCGTAAGTCTTTCGACTGCGCCGCCCTGTGTGCCTCGTTCGTCTAAGTAGATGCGTTGTGGTTCGGCTTCGCTGATGTTTCTGAGCGCCGACGGGCGCTGAGACAGCAAGCGCGGCTCCGGAACCACGGAGAAGAATATGTGTTTGAGCGCAGTGCACATCCGAGCAACACCAGTCAACAATGAAACGGTGTCTTGGGTCATTGTAAAATCGATTCGGGTCATGTTGAGTCGAATGACATGACAGAACATCGAATGTAACAAACATCGAATGACATGACACCTCGAACAACAACATTGTCCTGGAGAATGCACTGCGCTGCAGCACGCGCAACAGGGCGAGTGATCAGATGGAGTGGTTGTACCAGCTGCATGGAGCCAGCTGAACTAGTTTGGAAAATTGAGTCCAGGGAGTCAGAGGGGAGAGGGAGAGGAGGAGGAGGAGGAGGAGGAGGGGGAGGAGGAGGAGGAGGAGGAGGAAGACCACGATGACAAGGTTAAAGGGGTGGAGGGGGAGGACGACAACGATGAAACGACGGAAGAGGAGGAAGAACAAGTAGGAGGAGGAGGAGGACGACCACGACCAGGAGGAGGAGGAGGAGGAGGAGGAGGAGGAGAACCCTCTCGCCCTCGCCGCGGGGGCCCCGTGCGCCCCTGAACACCGTGGCCGCGCATGCCCACCAGGAGCGGCCCCGTCAGCCGCCATCGTCGCCGCCGCGCGGTCGGCGGCGTCGCCGTCGTCGTCAGCGTCGTCGCCCTTTTTCACTGGTCCTTCTCCTCCCTCCCACTTTTCACTCCCTCTCGCCCTCTTTCTTTTACCGCTCCTCCATTGTCCTCATGCCGCTGCTCCTCATCAACTCGTCCTCTTCTAGGTTCCTCTGTTCACTCCCTCTTTCATTTACAACCTCACTGCTCAATGCACCTCTGCGTCGACAGGGAAAGGGGCTCCTGGTCACAGTCGCCCAACAATGTAATATACACCCCTCCTCCTTTTCTCATCCTCTTCCCCCCCCTTCTACCTCCCTCCACGTGCTACTAGGTACTGCGACCAGGCAGGAGGGTATCTCACATGGTTGCCTCTAGTTGGAAACACTTGTTTTCATGTGCCCATTTCGCCCACTTTGGTATCGACCGTGGTCGCCCCGAGGTGTGTCAACGCACGTTCGCGCGTCCACGCGGCCCGATCGGTCGCACTGTCTCGTGACGTGTTGCCTTGCACAACCTCGCGTCCACAACGCGTCGATACGATACAATGTCCTGTCCAATGGGCATATTATTGGTGAGCGGCGCTTGTGCGCGAAGTTATCAAAATATTTTGGATCACATGGCAGTGAACTGTATTTTCTTAGAGGATTGCATCCAGATTCTCAGATTTATTTTGGATTGCAACGGGATCCTTAGAAAAAAAACCTCTTGCGCCCCAGGCCTTACAACAATACCATCTTGCGACGACGTCCTGTCTGCGCGCCTTGAATTGCGCTAAGAACCTTCTATCTTTAGGTTTAGCCAAGAATCGTCGCCGTGGTCGCCGGCATCGACGACGCGAGAAATGACGCGCCATCATCTTCGCCCGCGCTGAAAGTCGCCGCGCCAGTCGCGAAGCACTTGCCAGGGGCGCAGTTGCCAATGAACCGCGGGGGCGCGACAGCGTCGGGCACGGCGCGCAAACCGCGACCTTCGAACCTCGACGCCCCGGCCGAAGAAGCGGAGGCGGGACAAGTCAGCTGGGGAAAAAAGGGGCAGAGAAAGGGGGGCCAGCACCCGGGGGCACAAATTCAAAGAAATCTGGGCGACCTCCCGCGGCGACCTCTCGCGCGAGCCCTCCGCCAAGGCTTTGAACCTGAGGGCGCTCGCAGACGCCCCGCGCGCGGGGCCTTCCGGGCGGCGCAACGCGCCCCCGCTTCCACCGGCGCCAATCCCAAGACGCCCTGGCCGCCCCCATGGAAGGCAAAACCTCCGGCCACCCTCGCGCGCCGCCCTCGCGCCCCGCCCCCCCGCGACCTTCGGGCCACTTTCCTGCGAATGAGAAGGGGTTGTCGCGGTTGCGATCCCCCTCGAAGCCCTAACGCATTCGCCACTGGCGTTCAATCGGCTCTACCCTCTGAGCGCCTCGCAACACCGGGCCCCCAAGGTGCGCGGTTCCCCTGCCGGGGAAATGCGCCAGCTTAGCGCTCATAAATGCGGCCCCCCACCTGCGGCCGACAACTCGAAGGTGGGCGCGCGCGCGCGCCGCGCCTCCACTTTCTGACTCGTTGGCGATTGTTTTCGTCGCGGCTTTCCCCCCCGCGTGCATTGCGGGCCCGGCGCTCGACATGCCATCCGCCCTCCCCATTCTACGAATATCCCCCTGCGGGTGAAACTGGAAAGCGCGTCATTTCAAAGTTCTGGCGAGGTTTCATAAGCGTCCAACATGGGTTTCTCAAAGCACAGGCGCCCGTCTCCCGCGTCGCCGTTTTCGCCTCGACTTCCTCGTTCTACACAGATGCCAAGTTCGACCCTTTCGTCGGCATGGCCCCCTTTTGTCATGACGGATGTTGCGCGAAATCGCACCGCTGATGTTCGAGTCGGGCGCGGCGCGCGAGGCGCTCCCAACGGTTCCCGCGACGGCGCAGGGGGTCGACGCCAAAGGAGGCGCAGCGGGGGGGGATGGGATCGCTAGTGCCATCGCTCGGCCTGCTCACTCCCAGGCGCGCATCGCCTCGAAGCGCCGCGTTGTCCAGAGTCCCCGGCGGACTCCGGATCCTCCCACAGCTGTGCCCGAGCGCCCCTTCGAACGTGCAAGCGGCGCCTGGGCCGGGCCTCGCCGCGGGCGTTCGGCGCTGCTAAACGGGGCGGCATCGCGCCGCGATAGGTCTGGGAAGGGGCGGGCGGCCGCGATCTCACGCAACCAAGCCCGACGCCCGCGGTCGCCTTCCATGCCGCCTCGCGAATGGCCCTGAGAGCCAGCGAGCAGAACGAGCGCACCAGTGATCGCCGCACTCCACCACCGACGCCCAGCGAAGGCGCCCCCCAATTGAATGCATGCGTTCTGCGAAAAAAAAAGAAAGGAAGAAACTCGCGAGGGCCAGTGGCCTCCAGGGCTGTCGCCCCCCACGAATCGGCAAAAAACAGCCCCTTTCTACAGCGAAAAAAATCATCGTGGAGCGTGACGAAGTCTCTTGCGATAGCTTGCGCATCCAAGGCGGAGCCGTCCCCTATCCAAGAAGCGCAGCGAGGCGCGCGCCGACCTCGCGGACACGCCCGAAGCGCAAGAGGAAAGATCAGCGCAGAAGCACGCCCGCTCGAATCGCCCGCCGATGGGAGGATGCACGACGTGTTTCGCGAAATCGGTGGCACCATTCTCCAAAATGCTTCCAAGACGCCCACCACGAGCCGGCCGCGACGCCAGCAGCAGCACCGACGGCAGCACCAGCAGCAGCACCTGCGCCAGTGGCACCAGCAGCACCGCCACCAGCAGAAACAGCACCAGCACCAGCACCAGCGCGAGCGCCAGCAGCAGCAGCAGCAGCAGCAGCAGCAACACTAGCACCATCAGCAACAGCGTCATCACTGTCAGCAGCACCAGCACCATCAGCAATAACAGAATTTGCAACGGCACCGCCAGTACCAGCACGAAGAGCGACACCAGCAGCATCAGCAGCAGCGGCGGCACCAACCGCAGCAGCACCAAAAGCAGCACCAGCAGCAGCGGCAACATCAGCAACGGTGCCAGCAGCAGCTCCGGCTGCAGCACAAAAAGCACAGACGGCGAAGAAAAGACAGAGAATGAGGGGGAGGAAGCTGAGGATGGAGGAGGAGGCGGAGGCAGATGGGGAGAAGGAGGAAGGGAAAGAGGAGAAGGAGGATGGGGACGAATATGCTCCAAAATGGCCTCCAACGTGGCTCGTCACCATCATCGCCCCTCTGACTGCCAAGGGTGGTTCACTAGATGCACCTTTTCTTGCAATGTCCAATCAGCTCTCATTGCGAGGGCTTCTGAATGGGCTGGTGGCTGGTGGCTGAAGGGATTCCTGAGGAAGAAGATTCCTGCGGGGTCCCATCGGCTCCCGCTACTCCACACGGTTCCCGACGATACCTCGAATGCCTCAAGGCCCTCAGGAGCCCCAGGGAGCACTGGGAATTCCTCAGGCCAGGGCGAGGATCATCGTCGATTTGGGCGTCATCATCTGTTCGTTTGCTTGTTCATCGTTCTGGGATCCCCCTTGTCGGAGCGGAGCCCTCCCTTGGTGCGCTTGCGTCTTCCTCTGTCAGGAGGAAGCCCCGATGAGAGAAACGATAAGAGGAGGATGACGAGGGAGGGCGAATGAGAGAACGGGGACGAACAGGAAAGGAAAACACGATGACAAAGAGGAGGAGCGGCAGGAGCAACAAAGAAAGAGGGAATAAGAAGAGGCAGGACAAAAGAGACGAGGATAATGAGGATGCGACAATTCGTACATAACATCTGTAAATACCCGCTCCGCTCGATAGCAACAGCAAAATCCTTGAAAATGCGCCAAGCACTAAACGGTAACTAAAGTGACCAAAACGTAACCAACAAAAACAACTATTCAAACCCCCCCATCTGTGACCCCCCATTACCGCACGGCCAAAATTCTCCCTAGTTTCGGCCTCCGGGGGCCCTTACCGGGCCCCGGGACCGTCAAAAAACGACTCGGGATGACAAAGCGGTCCCAGGGAAGGGGTCCAGACCTCGGGGGGCGACGTTGCGAAAAAATCACGACGTCGCGGGTTTGGGAAGGGAGGATGAGGAGAAGAAGGGGCGGAGAAGGTGGGCCACGAGGGGAGGGAGAAATGAGGAGGAGCGGGAGGAGGAGGAGGAGGAGGAGGAGGAGGAGGAGGAGGAGCGGGATGAGGGAGCGGGGAGGGGGAGGCGGAGGAGGCCCAGAGCAGACCCAAGATGCAAAAAGCATGCTGCAATATCCCCTCCCGTTTCCAGGCTCCCTCCTCACACGTCCCTTTTATGCAAGTATTGCTGTTCACTAAAAAGAGCGCCCCCTTAAAAACGAGAACCCAATTGCGATGCAAATGTCGGCAAAAGTCATCCACGTCTGCTGCTTCAAATTCACACTGGGAGCACTGCAATGACGATGGGGCCTCTAGATCTCTCAGAGCGCGCCCCCCACCGAACCGAAACTGCTCCCTCTAAACTGCAATATCCAAGTGCTGAGCAGCAAGCTCGAACCCAGAAAACTGCACGACAGCATATGCACGCGATACACGGGGTGAGTACGTGGCAGAGCGAGCGGAAATCGCGACGAGGTCATAAGCCCCGTTCGGGTCTCGAAAAGCATCACGGCCCCCCACCTGACGGCAAAAAAGTAAGTACCCGCTGCAACCGGGCATCTTGCAGGCGGGGCCTCTTCAGAGCATGTACAGACTCCATTTCGACATCTGCAAGGGCGAAACGGGATCCACAAAGGCCAGCTCGAATGCCCGCCACTCGGAAGAAGTACGTGAAAACATGAAGTAGGAAGGCGGATGAGGAAGATCAGGTCGGGCCCGCCCAGAGAACAGCAAACGACAACAACAAACATATCAATGATTGCAATAGGAACCAAATTGGGATCCAGGGATCCAAAAATTTGTATTTTCAACGACCGGCGAACTACAGGTGAAATCAAGGCCGATGAAGTCGGGGGAGGTCCCACGGGAGGCCCGGTCCGGCACCCATCTTCCCCATGAGGCCCCATCTTCTGGCATGAGCTCCTCCTCCTCCTCCTGATCCTCCTCCTGATCCTCCTCCTCCTCCTCCTCCTCCTCCTCCTCCTCCTCCTCCCTTTGACTGACCTTTTTGCCAATGGTGGGGCCCACAGGGGAACTTACCACGCAGAAAAGGCAGGGGGCCCATACTCGAAGGTGGCCGTCCTGAACACCGTGGCGAACAGCTGGACAGAGTCTACCGAGCTCGACCTGTGTCTCACACATCCTCCGATGTTTTAGCAGCGCCTCGTTCGGAAGCGTGCGAGCGGAACCATACCCTGTCGTCCAACTAGCCCGCGCTCGCATCGCAACTCGAGCAACATGAGCAGCTATGGCGTCGGGTCGGACACCTTGTTGCTTCGAAATCAGGAAAGCCTCAACGCCGCACAGGACAGAGCTCTGCACCAAAGACAACATCGAACATGTAAACTCCGACGGTAGAAATACCCGCAAAATAGAATCCAATGAATAGAAAGCCGAGCGAACTGCCTGGTGACGTCGAGCCTGTTTGGGAGGAGGTTGAACGAGAAAGACTTGCCTGCAACGGGGAGAAATTGTATTACTCGTGTACCTCTGGGCCATGGCTGGGCCTACTTGTACAAAGCGCACCAAGTGCTAATATTCCAGTGGAGCGGCGCCAGTTCTGTGATCCGAATTTTCAGCAAAGCAGAAAATTAACTGGTTCATCTGGCTCGCGAAGGGCGCGCAAACCTGCACGTTTCAACTGCATTCCCTTTGCAGGGCGAAGACATTGCCACCACAACTCGAAGAGGTGCGGTCCCTGCTGGCACCACTCGACGCTTCGAGGAGCGGCGAACACATCTTCGGACTCGCTGAACGAGGCGAAACGGGTGGCGCGAACGCATGTGGACACCGCCACTGGGGCCTTCGGTGGAGCCCCCTATGGGGCCACGAAGCGTGGGAAGTGTGCGCCGAAATGGGTGGCACGGACGCATGTGGACACCGCCACTGGGGCATCCGGTGGAGCTCCCTATGGGGCCACGAAACGTGGAAAGGGTGTGCCGAAATGTGTGGCGCGGACACATGTGGACACCGCCACTGAGGCCTTCGGTGGAGCTCCCTTATGGGACCACGGAACGTGTGAGAGTGTGCCGAAATGAATGGCGAGGACACATGTGGACACCGGCACTGGGGCCCTCGGTGGAGCTCCTATGGGGCCACGAAACGTGTGAGAGTGTGCCGAAATGGGCTGCGCGAACGCACGTGGACACCGCCACTGGGCACCTTGTTTTCCAACACCCGCGCGGCGCACGGTGCGCGCACCGTTCGCGACTGGCTACAGGGCAGCCCATCTTGGGGGGCCGCTCGGGCGCCCAAAGGCGCGCCCGTCCGCGCCCTCACCAAAATGGCACGGAGGGCCTGCAGAACCACACGAGGACGCCGATCAAGAGAAAGTGAGGCGCCTCTGTGGTCGTCCCGACTTCGGGTCCAGGCCGGCACGGAACAGCTCGACCTTCCTGATCCTGGGCCTGATCGCTTTGCCGTCCACGGTCTTGCACTCGCCGCTGAGAATCCTGTGTTTCCCTTTACCTCGCGAGCATAGCATTGGCACCGCCTGCACACTCTGTAGCCGCTGATCGAGATCAGGTCGTGCTCGGTGGCCACTCCCTCGGTGCCAGATCCCGTGGCCGCGCCCTCAGAGGACCCCGAGGCAGGGAGGGAGAGAACCACCTGCCTGGAATCCCCTGTGGCGCGCATCTCCTCCTCAGGCTCTTCGTCTGAGCCCTCGGCCTCCAGCCTGCTGGCCGTTGCCAAAGCCACGGCGACCGCTCCCGCTAAAGTCGGCGGTGGACAAACCTCCCTTTAGTACACCTCTCCTTAGCGAAAACGGCCCGGGACCAAAACCGACGGACCTGGACCCGCAAAACGACGGCCGCGACGCCCTCTCGCGAGCCGAAAACGGCCAGCTCCTTAATCGACGTGTCGTGGTAGGAGGTCTGTCCACCTCCGACGACTTCAGCCTTCTCGTCCACCCCGGTTGCCAGGATGGCACCGCGGAACTGGCCCTCCGAGACCCTCGGCGCCAGCGCGTTTCAGGAGGGGAAAAAACACACAGACACAATTAATCGGCGATTCCCCAGAAAATATGGGAAAATATGGGAAGTGGGGGGGAAGACAAAAACCCAGAAATATAGGAAAATATGGGGATATTTTTATTTGTGTGTATTTATTTGTGTGTCCCAGTTCCCCTTCAGCGTTGCCAGCCGCCAGGCCCACGAGTCCAGCGGCGAAGGTCACGGCGCACTGGAGACCGCGTGCTTCGGACCCCAGGAAGTGAAACAGTGACCCGCTGAGGCAGGCCGCCTCCTCTCGGCGCCGCTGGCGCCAGGGGCGAGAACGCCTTCTCGTTGCAGGCGTGGCCGTGGAGCTTCTCTGCTGCCGTGGGCGCCCCGGGCCGCGCGCCAGCGGCCGCCGCCACGGGGGGCCTTTTCGGTGGTGCTCCCCATGTGGGGCCGCGGGGCACGGAAGCGTGTGAGAGGTGCACCGAAACTGCTGGCGATGACGGTGATGATGATGGTGATGATGATGACGATGATGATGACGACGACGACGACGACGACGACGACGACGATGATGATGACAACGATGGTGACGGTGGTCATTATAGTGATGACGGCGACGACGATGATGATGCTCCTGATGCTGCTGATGATGATGACGATGATGATGACGATGGTGATGATGATGACGCTGATGATGATGGTGACACTTATGACGATGCTGATGATGATGTTGGTGATGACGGTGGTGATCATGATGTTGGAAGGAGGGAGGAGGGGGAGGAGGAAGGAGTGGACGCGTGGCGCTGTCTCTTCAAAACGAGGACGCAACACCACAGGATGAATGTGAATTGGGCCCCTGCTTCTGGCTGCCAGCTCCTGGCTCCTCATCACCGACCCTCGGCCAGCGAAGACGGCCCGCAGGGAGGGGGCGCCAACGGCCTCCCACAACCCGGACCTCGACACACGAGGGCACCAACTGCCGCCATCCAGCGCTTTCTTCCCAGCCCCTGCTCCTACGACTCCGCACCTCGCTCCCTCGTCACCCCTGTTCCTGGTGGGTATGTCCTCCCTGTCGCACCCGGAGGCGTGTCGGCAGGGCGGGCCTGGCGTGTCACCTGAGGTGTCCCCGCCGTCAAGGACGGAGGGCGGGTGGCTTGCAGCTGATGGCTCTCGCGGCAGCGCCGCGCACATTCGTCCTGAAAGTGTGCAGCGCCTCCAAGGATGGAGGGCGGGTATTGTTTGTGGCTCTCGCCTGAAGGCCACACACGATGGTGTTGAAATGTGCAGCACGTCCATGTCTTCAAGATGTGGACCTCCCCTCAGCACCGCGTACACTCGTCTTTCAAATGTGATGGAGAGCGGGTGGCTTTCAACAAATAGCTCTCGCCTTAGCGCCGCGCACGCTCGTCGTAAACGTTCGCAATATGTTCGAGGATGGAAGGCGGTGCCGTTTCAAAAGGTGGTTCCAAATGTTCTGGAACGTTTGTACCAGTTACAAGAAATCGAATGCTTGAATTATCAGGAATGGTGTTCTGGCACGATTTAAGATTGTCCCTATGCAAAAATCACGTTGCTTCGCGGCGTTGAATTACCTGGAATGTTGTTCTGGCACGAGTTCAACTCGTCAGGACGCAGCAGCCACTCTCATTCGCGGCGTTGCAATGCCAGGAACGGTGTTTGGGCACGATTTGGAATTGCCAAGCGATTGTCTCACAATGGGGCACTTCCCGCCATGAGAATGAAGTGTTGTAGGGACCAATGAATAGGGAACTTGGAAGGATGGTTTCTTGTCTCATCGTTGATGTGCCGTGGGTTCTCACTGGTTCTCCCCCTGACACCTGACACCTGACTCCGCCTCCTCCTCCTCCTCTTCCTCCGCCTCATCCTCCTCCTCCTCCTCCTCCTCCTCCTCCTCCTCCTCCTCCTCCTCCTCCTCCTCCTCCTCCTCCCCCTTGATGGCTGCATTGCCGTCTGACGACGCCTCTCCCCATCCTCCTCGTCCTGCCGGTTCTATTCCTCCTCTCCCTCCTCCTGAGAATCGGCCCCTGGGCCTGCCCTGAGATGCACAATGACGTCCCAAAACCTCGAGCCCCTGTCAGGAGGACAGTCCTTCGCGGTCAGGCTGAGCCAACCCCGCACCGGCTCGTTGATCGGCAGGCCCGAGACTGGGAACTCCACGAAGCCCAGGAGGTCGTCGCTGGTCAAGAGGTCCTCCGTGCGAAGAGGAGGAGGAGGAGGAGGGGGAGAAGGGGAGGAGGACAAGGGTTAGTCAAAGGATAGGGCGGAGAAGGAGGAGGAAGATGAGGAGGAGTTGAGTGTGAGGAGGGGAAGGAGGAGAAGGAGAAGGAGGGGAAGCACGAGCGAGCGACCTGGAGGGGAAGAGGAGACGAGCGCATGCAAAAAGTGCAGTCCCCCTCCTCCTCCTCCTCCTCCTCCTCCTCCTGCTCCTCCTCCTCCTCCTCCTCCTCCTCCTCCTCCTCCTCCTGGATGAAAGTAAGCGAGGCAACACCCAGTCGGCGCCGTGCGGCGGCAGGTGGGAGCCCCACGGACGAGGCAGCGCACCGAAGGGAGACGGAGCGGAGAGAGGCAGACAGTGAAGACGCCGAGCAGCCCCAAGAGGAAGAGGCCGACGAGGAGCGAGTGCGAACGACCGACAGCGAGTTCCAGGGGAGCGACGTCAAAAAAAGGGGCCGTCTGCGCCAAGATTGGCGCGCAAGCTGCCCGCGTAAGGTTGCGCGTGAGCGCCCTCGTCTCCAATGTGGCGTGCCGCGCTGGTCATCGCGTAAGGTCCTGCGTGAGCCACCGCACAAGGTCCCGCGTTAAGGTCCCGTGCAGGCCACCGCGTCAGCCACCGCCCATGTGGCGTGCCGCGCGCGAAGCCCCGCGCAGACCACCGCGCAAGGTCGCTCCGTCATCTCGCGCAAGGCCCGCGTCTTGTCCGTCGGGGGCGCACAAACATGGATTAGCGATCCATGGATTTGGCGCGCGGTCGCCAAATCCATGGATCGGGGGAGGTGCCCTTTCCAAAATGCGGCCGGTGCGGCCTCGTTCGGCGGCGGAGATCCGCGACTTCCCATGGAAACGGGACCTGTCGCTGATCAACCGCCCCTTGATCCATGTTTGCGATCGCCTGAGAGGGGGCGGGCCTTCTCAGAAGGATCGGACGTCCCCCGGCCTTCTGCGAAGGGGACTGGGACGTAATAAAATGAGAAGCGCAACGCAACGCCCGATCGGCCCAGGGACGGTCCTGATACAGAGGGGCCGATCGGAATAGTCTTCCCTCGGTGGAGGTACACCGAGATATGGGTGTTGGTGTCAACTTCCAGGCCTGCGACTTGGCGGCGAGCGAGGAGGGGAAGTGAGAAGGGGCGGGCCTCCTCAGAAGGCTCGAAGTCCCTGGGCCTTCTGAGAAGTTCTCGAGGCCCTACCCGAAGACGACACAGAAAGCGTCCCGGAAGGCGCGAGAGGGCTTCCGCGGCGTCCCGCCGCCTTCTGAGCAGGTCGTTCTTCTCCCTCTCGCCCCCCCCCCCCGGCCGCCGAGGCATGGGTGTTGGTGTCCACCTCCAGGCCTGCGACGAGGCGCCCCCCTTCTTCTTCTTTGTTCAAATAAAAAAATACGCGAATCACAGAGTCTGGTGTGACACGCGCGTCAATGAATGCACCGGACCGGCGAGACGATTAGCTGGGCGCGCCGGGGGGGAGAGAGAGGGAGAGAGGGAGAGGGAGAGAGGGAGAGGGCGAAAGGGAGAGGGCGAGACGAGGCGCCCCCCTTCGAGGCGCACGTCCGCGGTCGACGCCACGGCACCGAGGCCTTCTCGCGGGGCGCCGCCGCTGCCCCGGGCGGTGCGTGGCCAGGACGCGCCCGCCCGCGGGCACGGGCTCGAAGCCTGTTCCGCGAGCGCGCGTCGCCACAATGGGGGGGGGGACGCACACACATATGTAGTGTTAAGTCGGGCCTGTCCCTCTGCAGGAGGAACATTCAAACATGGCTGCTCTGTCGAAAAATGTATGTTTTTATGTGTTCTGTGTTCTAAAACCAAAAAGCCAAAGAAGAAAATAATAAATAAAAAACACAAACAAAAAAAAACGTCTGAGACTACATTTGTTAAAAGTGCTGTTTGACTGTTTGGTGCACTTTTGGGGGCATGGATCATTTGTCGCCCAAAATCCGCCTCTAGCGGGACGTGCCCGACCCAAATCTAGTGACTATGGGGGGGACGCACATATGGTATAGTGATGCCCAGAATTCAGGAGCAAGACCGAAGGACTCCGCCAGGCAGCTCTCGGGGGCGTCTGGGAGGCGGGAGCGTTCGGGGGGGGGGGGGGGGGGGCGCAAATCATCACCGGCGGCACGTGCGCGGCCCCGGGGGGGGGGGGGGGAGGGGAGAAACACTGAAATAAGAAGAGGCGCACTGAAATGTGGGGAGATACCATTACGGGAGAGGTGAAAACGACCACAACCACTGCTTTGTTTTTGTTGCCGCCTTCCAGCCAGCAGAAACAAAGCAGTGGTTGTGGTCATTTTCGTTAAGCTTGGCACCGGGGAAATGACCACAACCACTGCTTCTCTTTCGGCCGGCTGGAAGGCGGCGCAGACAAGAAGCAGTGGCTGTGGTCATTTTCCCGGCCCGCAATCATGGCCCCCGCCCCGAGATCCCCCCCCCCCAGTCATCACGTCATCACCCCCTCCTCCTCCTCCTCCTCCTCCCTCGTCGTCCTCCTCCTCCTCCTCCTCCTCCTCCTCCTCCTCCTCCTCCTCCTCCTCCTCCTCCCCCTCTGCGAAGATCTGCTTGGAATGAAAAGAATGCTTCTTCTGCTGCTCGCGCCGAGCTTGACCCAAGGCCTACGGATCGAGTCTGCTGCATGCTGAAGCTACAACTGCGTGCTAAAGCTACAACTGCGGCTGCTTCTCACACAACCTCTTCTATCTCGATACGTAGGGCCAGTTGATTTATAACACCGGGCTATTCGTCAATATGGAATATGTATCATACACATCTGGGCGTCCTGTGGCCAGGCTGGCCTGCGCGGTTCAGGCACGCGTCCCGTTCAGGAGGACCTTACTAGGGCAGCATTCACATCAGGACGCCTCTCTCTCTCTCCGGGGTCACCCCCGCCACGATTCTCTGCCTTGGTCTTGGTCTCGTACTTGCACCGGTAAACGTATTCTCCCGTCTTGAGGACATGCTCCAAATAGCTCTGATCCTTCATGTGCTTGGTCAGGGGGTCGGCGAGCATCAGGCGGGTGTCCGTCCATATCAAGCCGTCTCCGGCTTCCAATCGATCTCGAAGGTCCGCGAGGTCAACGCGATCCTCCTCTCCGTCGGCATGCTCCCTTCCTTCCGGCAGAGGTCGACGAAGCTCTTGCAGTCCGTCACGCACAGGCTGGGGATCTTGCCCATCAGTGTCGTCCAGTCGCTCTCTGACTCCCAGCCGTACAGCATCTCAGCCAATGCCGTCCTCACGAAGCACGCCCTATCGAACCCGTAGCTCGCACTGGCCGCCTCCGCTGCCAATGTAGATCTCACCACACGATGGATCTTGCTCGAGCACCAGTCCACCACGTTGACTTTCTTGGCGTCGAACTTCTCGTCGGTGAGCAGTAGGATGAACCCTTGTTGCGATCCACTCCTCGGCTGCCTGTCGCACGAGGCATCGCGTACGCACATGCATCCAAATCGCCCCGATCCATCTCAGCGATGAAATCGTAGCTTGACGTCACGCGTCACCATCTCCTTGGCCATGCTCAACACCGCGTTCGCCTTGCACAGCTGGCCGACCGTCAAGTCTGGCGTCCGCTGCTGCAGGTCACTGACGTCGTAGGCGAATCCAGGTAGTGTCGTCCGCGCGGGCCACGACAATTGTTGTCCAAGGCTGCGGTACTTCGAGAGCTCTTCTTCGGTCGCCTTGCTCTCGGGGTCCTTCCGCCTGGAGGCCGGCACGAAGATCTCCTCCATCTTCTCAATGTACTCATGCTGGTCGACCTCTATGGACTTGTCCAGCAGCTGGTTGATGCGCCGGCCGAGGAACTCGAACCGACCCTGCTTCTCCTTGGTCACGCTTAGCTTCTCGCGTACGATCTCCTTCGCTCTGGCGAACCGCTCGCCGGTACCGCCCCAGAGTCCGTCGTCGACGTGAACACATAGGACCGCCTCGATCTTGCCCTTGTCGTTCCGAATGACAAAAACTCCTTTCATGGTCTTGAGCGGCTGGAATCCGGCCTGAATCAACACCTCCGAGAACCTTTCCCGCCATAAGCGAGGGGATTCTCGTAGCCCGAATACACCCTTGAGCAGCTCCACCAAGCTTCCAGCAGGAACTCCAGGTAGCCCTTCTCGGGGAGGCATCACATATAACCGTCTCGTGTTCGTCTTGCTGGTGAGGAACGCCGAGCCGATGTCGAACGTCCCGAGATCCCAGCCGAAATGCGCTGCCAAGTTCAGCAGCAGCATCAGCCCTACCATGGGCGCCACTGGTGCATCTGTCCGTGTGCCTGCCGTCTCTGACGAAATCGCCATGCGTTTCGCGTGCTTGATGCCAAGCTTGCCCTGGTTGTCCGGGTCGAGATGTCCCGGGATCACGAGTCGGCTGTTCGGCTGGCCCTCCTTGAGGGCATGCACGAAGCGTGCCGGCACCTTGAAGATCCTCGACTTGTCGACCTTCACCGCCTCGTCGGGCAGGACCGCCCTGACGGCCTCGTGCTCCAGGTGCTGATTCCAGTTCTTGGCGATGCTCTTGTTGAACGCGAGCCACTCCGCCTTCGTGAACTTCCGAGAGTCCAACTCCTTCCCCTTGGTGCCTGCCTGGAAAGGGCGGAGCTCCAGCGAGAACACATCGTTCATCGCGTACAGCGTCTCCGTGTCTAAGTCCGGGACTGGGGTCTCGACGGCTTGGTTGAACACCGTCTCCACCACTGGTGCCGGAGGCACAACCTCTTCTATCTGCGATGGTGGTGTAGGTGGTGGCGTAGGCGCCCCAACACTCCCTGCTGGTGATGGCTGAGCTTCGGGCTCAGGTGTCTGTCGTGGTTCTTCCACTCGTTCTGAAACAGCTCCCGGCACTGGCACTTCGACTGGATTCGGAGGTATCGTCGTACTCTCCATCGCGCTCGGCCTCAAGTCCTCGAACGTGTGCTGGCCCCTCGAGATCCCGCTCAGGTCCATATTGTAGTTCTCGTGGATGCTGCCGATGGCCTCGCTCGCCAAGCGCTC